AAAATTTATATATATAAAAATCTTTTTGGCAACCAAATACACACATTCATGCATAAGTATGCTTATTCAGACAGATAAAAGTTTATATATATAGTTTGGCTTCTTGGAAAGCAATATATTCATGCACAGAATTATTTGGTGAGAATGTGACAAGACAAAATGGAATCTAAAATCAGCTAGTAGACAATAAATCTGGCTCATGTCTTTCTCCATCAGTTGTGAAGGAAACCCTGCTATTTTTAAATCTAGAGTCCATGAACTTAGCCAAATAGAATGCTCTTGTGCAAAAGAGAACAAGAAAAGATTTTAAAAAGTCTTAACATTTACTATGCCTGCTTACTTTCTATGGCTCTCCCTAAAGTCCTCAATCCTCCTTTAGAAAAGCAATGCTTCGGTGACTCTTTTCAGCCGCTGTTTCTGTTGATAATGGTTAAGTTATCGAGTTAGGAACTAAAAACGTATCAGAGGCATGAGTCTATTATACTTTGTACACTTTTACCCACCTGTGCAAATCAGAAGGGTAGCACTTTGCACAGGTATAGGGGCCTGATCCAAAGCTCATTGAAATCAAGATAAAAGGCACTGGAGGCCCCATGTGTTCTTAGACTGAACACAAAATTCAAATTAAATACTTGCACTCACCCTTTGCCAGAACCCATAGTCACAAATATGTTTGTAGAATCAATTGGTCAAAACACTATAAATTTGTAAAAAATCATGATTTGGCAATAGACAATTAACAGAGTAAAAAGCTAAATCATGATTTTATGAATTGTAATGAATAGGTCAACCACGTCTATCTGCAATTGTGGAAAATTCTATAGTAATCTTGTTTTAATATTGGAATTTTAAAAATAACTAATATAAAAAATAAAGTTTAAGAATCCTGAAGGTTGCCACATTGGCAGGAAGTGATAGAGTAAGGCTAAAGGCAAATTGCTCTGCAAGAACAAAAGAAATCTCTGTGTGCATTTTAGTGAATGGGAACAGCATGTGACTTTAAAGGTTATTTTCAGGTAGGGCTCAAAGTGAAAAATTGATCCAGTAAAAGTCTATCTGAACTCCCAGCTACCCCCTCTGTACTTTGTATTTATCTGCATCTGCCCCCCAATTAACATCTCATTTATCTACACATCTGCAGTGACTTTACCCTCCGACCTCTGCTATGTAAAACCATTAATCCTATGTGCTAGCTTTAATTTAAATAATCATAGACCTCATTTGCAGAAATAGAGAATGTATATTAGAATAATTCTATACTTAGGACCAGATAGTTAACCGTTTATATCCATTAGCATTTATTTGCACAGTGGAAGAAAATCCTTCATAATCTGTCCACTTTCAGCGCCCTCCCCCCCCCCCCCAAAAAAGTTGGCATTACATTGAAACTTAGCTGATTTAAGTATAAATATCATTGTTTTATATTTTTCAGAATGATTACATAGTATCTTACCAAAAAACGACATGCAAACACAAAGTATATGCATATAATGCAAAGGACTACATTTAAAGCAACATCTCAAAAATATTTTAGGCAGTTCAGAAAATCTTCCAAACGTTAAAAGCTATAGACGGGAATACAATACACAAAAGGACTTTGATCAGTACTAATTATTAGTAATTGGTTATAAAGTGCTTCTTGTTATTTATAAGGAACAATACCATATATCTCATTATAGGTTTATTCAAGAAACAGTGGCTTCTCTATAGTAACATCATTCAAACCACCTAGTTCCTCTACACTCAAACACTCTTTCTTATCATTAGTTCAAGATGTTAAGCCAAAGCTTCAACCTAATGTTTTCTGATCAACCAATAACCTAATATAGCTAAAAATACTAATGAAACATTAATTCCAACAAATTTAAAGACAGTCCAGAACATTAATATTTTTTTCCTGTAGGCTTTGGTAATGTAGGGTAGACCTGTAAAAATATAAATTTGGAAGAAGAAAAAAAATTCAGATTCCCTTTGTGACACCACTTTTGTAACTAGTTCCTGATCTTTTGGCAGTGAGAAAGTAACAATGAAGGGATGGTATAAAGAAGTATTAAGATTCACTGCTATAGAGTCAAAATGGAAAGGTATCTGATAACTTGATCTCCAGTTATGTCCCTGGGACTGGTCTATGGAGGAGAACTTCCATGCACAGATCTATCTATTCCACACAGAAAGGTGAGTTGGGAGGGTCTTGACATCAGTGACAGTGGATCATCAGGCTTTGGCAAACTGGTGGTGGGTCTGGGTGCGGCATTTATTGTCTCCCTGGCACCCAGCAGAGTTCCCAAGAAAGCTAAGAGTGGTTCTGGGGGCAGCTATGGCCAAGGGAGTTCTAGGTGTCCCAAGCTGCCAGAGAGTGGAGGGCAGGCCTGCAGGATGTCCTGTGTTCCAAGCAAACCATGGGAATTCACAGAATTTGGGGGGGCCTCACCCTCATGTCCTTTGTGCTTGGGGACTTTAGTTCTGTGATGGAAGAATGCAGAAAAAAATTCCATGACAAAAAGTTAATGGTGTTTCCTGTGTCGGTTCTGTAGTTGGGAAACTATCACATCATATGTAGATAACGAGGAATTTAATTTTTATTCTAATGCAATTTCTAATAGCATTTTTATATATCCATTTCTTTTAAAACTTTTGATAATCCTCAGAACTCTTGTATTACATGATGTAGCATTATTTTCTGGTGATTCAGTTTTATGGTATAGATTACCTACTAGAACTTTAACAAGCACTGTACAGCTTTAAGTCTGTATTTTTACTTCTGTGGGTTTTCCCCCTTATATTTTCTTCTATAGAATCAGCTTATATAAACTAAATAAATATATTTTAGATTCTGACAAATCAAACCATGCCTTCTTGTATAATAGATTATATATATTTTAGTGAAACCTTAGATAGTGGTAGAGGAAAGGATAATTTATCAATCACTCATCTTGCATTAAGAGCTCTTGTAGCTATAAAGAAAAGTGATGGGGACTGAGAGACAAGAGAGGTCTGTTTTTCCTTTAGTTTGTTAGACATTTTAATCTACTATTCACAGATATCTGAATTAGTTTGGGAGAGTTGTTTAAATACAATGTAATCATCTTGCCCAGCTAAAATATTAAATTGGCCAAGATAGGACCTGTGGTGAGGGTGAGGAATTTTTTTTTAAAAGCCTCTTCCCATCTAATATAATCTGACCAGAGAAAAGAAGTGACTTCCAACCTCAGATAGTTTGGCAGAAGAAGCAACAAGTGAGGAAACAAACCCATCTCAGGGCCAAACTAGTAACTGCCTTTGGAAAAGCAGAACAAGATAGAAATGTTCTAAAGCATCTCCAGCGATGGAACTGTGGGGGGATGGAGGCAGCCACAGTAGCTATGGAGGAAATGTCCCCCGTGTTAAATAGGCAGGGCTGGCTGATGGGCAGCCTATGTACCAACAGCAGCAGCAGCTATGAAGGCAAATTGGGGTGTATTTTGACCCTCTTCCTCCTCCAGGCATAAATATATGTCAGAATTTTATGTTTAATAGTGGCATGTGCAATCACACTAGATATTTTAAAATGACAAGAGTTATCAGCCCTCCTGTTTCCAGATAAAAGCTTGATCACTTGCTACTGGCAGTGTCAGGAAGAAATTCCCCCACATGGTATGTTGTTGAATATTTAAGTTCTTTTTGGATTGGGGTACCACTTCCTCTGAAGGATCCTGCATTGGCCGCTCCAAGGGGCAGGACCTATTCTAGTATAGCAATTTCTATGTTCCCATGCCATACTCTTGTACACCTATGCTATTACTGAGTAATGCTGCATAGTAGGGCAATGGTCTTTTTTTTATTCAGATTATGAAACTGCTGGAATTTTTAATCTATATATAAAGCAACAGATTGTGGAAAGGCTTAATCTTGAATTAAAAAGGAAGTAAGAGTACCTCTGCTTTAGTTTCCTCTCTTTCCTGTATTTAAGTTTTCTCTGGTGTTGTATTTTGTAAGTGATATTTTGTGGTGGTGGAGTGAGGGCTCTTGACCAAATATCATAGCCATATAAATGTGTAGGGAAGATGTAACTTACATTGCTGCTGTGGGAATGTAGCAAAGAATAGCTATAATAATTTTTATGAATGAGGATTGTATTTATCATCTGCTACATATACATCAGATTGCATTCTTCTCTTCATGCTTTATGCACATACATCTAGAGTAGAATGCACTTCGTTTACTTTTCTTCTGTATATGTCAATGTGGATATAACTAACAGACAGGATGCGGGGTTTGTTTTTGTCACTTTTGGCATGCTACATCTATTCCATTCACAATGCCCACTGTAGGCAGAACAAGAACACAGGAGTTGCACTATATCAAGTCAGACCATTGGTCCATCAGATAGAGTAATTTGTCTTCAGTAGTGACCAATGCCTGATGCTTGAAAGGAGTACTCATACCAGAGTACTCCAATCGTCCATCTAGTTCATTATTCTGTCTCAACTGTGGCAATACCAAATGTTTCAGAGGAAGATGTAAAACCTGCTATCCAAACTCACCTGGCTACTTATGCAGGGTTGCACATATGGGAGGATGGAGGGTATTCCTTCCTGACCTGTGTTGACGTCTACACCCTGAATATTGTCCTGGAGGGCATTCTTCTTCAGTTTTGGTTGATCAGCCATCCTGGTTGATCAGCCACCCTCTTTGAGCTCCTCTGAAAATAATATTAAGCTTTTCTCTTCTGGTTCTTGTCCTTTTTCTGTTTACTACCCCAATGATCTCTCATTAATATTGGTTTTCTCATACTGTATGAACTGTGTGTATGTAACCACTTGGCTGTCACACAGTATGTTTCTATAGAAATGCCTTCATGTAGAAAGGTAGGGAAATGACCTTATAATTAAATTAATACTTTGTTCTTAAAGAAGCCTCATAAGGGTTGTGAGAAACTTTCAAAACAAATTATTAAAACATTTCTTTGATTTCTTTGTAGATTCTGGACAATCAGGAAGTCCAAGCCACAATGATCCTGCCAAGAATCCACCAGGTAAATATGAGTTCCAGGACATGTGCAATGTAACATTGTTTGAGAACAAAGATACTACTGTTAATAGTTAAAAGAGTGGATAATTGGTCAGCAACCTATTTTGCACTGCTAAGTACATATAATCAGGACACACTGTGATTATATTAGCTCTTTTGAAGTGGCAAATTCCTTGATTGTAGTTTCATCAAGATTCATTTAATCACAGGAATTTTTCTTTCTGTTCCTGCTTCTTAAAAGTTAATAAGTGGGGGCTGGGCTGAGGGATAGGAGGCAATATCCTGAATCACAGTTCTCCGATAATCCTCCAAAGGCTGAAGTTATTGTTATACTAGGGCAATAAAAATATTGCTCTTTCTTTAAAGTTAGTGACCAATTCTACAAGAACATTTGTTGCTGCAATTTTATTTTATGCATGCATTGTAAATATACATATGCTTAGTTTATAGACAAGGTGGTCAACTCACAGTAATTTTAAAAGCTCGATTGTTAGTAGTTGGGTTTCTTTTAAGTGATTCCAGTGATTATATGTGAATAGTCTCTACAAGAATTTCACTAAAATAAAGGAATCAAAAGAAAATCAACACTAGACTTTGCTTTCCACATTGTTTAGGCCAAATATTTTGATGTAGTCATTCTAGGGCTGAGAATGGGCTATTCCATCCAATGTCTGGTAAATCTGCTTCAGAGCGTTAAATAACATTGGTTTTGTGTAATTATTCACAGGGTAAGACAAAACAAGTAATATCAGAGTCCTCCTCTCCCTAGGATTTTTCTTTGTTGGTCATGAGAGACACCCCTCCAAGTGAAGCATTACTGTATCCTCTCATTTCGGCCTTAGCAGAGGTGTCTGTCTGGAATGAATTTAGGGTTAATGTCATTTGCTTTTTTTCTGATAATGGAGTGAATCCCAGCATCAATCTGATCAAGAGCTAGCTGGGTGATGTTGGAATGTTGCATGTACATAAATATTTTCTGGATGCAGATGAGGAGCAACAACTTACTCTGGAAACTCTGAAATGGTTTAATATTCGGTGTTGATTAAACTGTTCTTGTAGCATGTTGCAATATGGCCGTCGTGTGTGACTGTGTAAAATGGGAGAAATCCTGGTTATATAATGTAAAAAAAAAAAAGCAAATTGGTTATATAACATAAAAAGCATAATCTGTAAATTTAAAATTTACAAAGCAGAGTACCTAGTGTAGTATGAGATTTTTTTTGTATGAACATAGATTTCTAGCTGAGGATCATTTTGGTTTACATTAAAGTTTGAAGCCTCTTTTGTTGAGAGACCTTGATACTGTTTCCCTCCAAGTTTTGTGGGATATCTGATTTGTTTTTTATTTCACTACAAAATACGATGTGTAGCACAAATTATATTATGTAGTGCTTTAAAAATGCAAAAGCAACAACAAAAAAGCTTAAATTCCAACAGCATGGAAAGTTCTTCCAAGTCCTTTGCTTTATTTTCCTTGAAGAAAGTTGGAGTTTTCCAAAACTCAAATTGTTGAGCCTTAGAAAAATCTTTTAGTCTAGTCTCTAATAAAGTTTTAATAGTCTATTTGTGCAAGCCCCAGAGAGAATCCAAATGTTTTTGTAATCCTCTTCTGCCATTTTTAATATATTTCTTGTGTATGTGTATGTATAATCATAATAATTAATTAATGCGACATTAAGGTTGAGAAATCAATCAATACAAAAGTCAGGAAGTACAGATTTAAAGACAAATGATTGACTTTATCTCATCCTGCTTATGTAGCCATTAAAGTATGGGTCTCTTTATATCATGGCATTATTTATCATAAGCCACAACAATTATCACAAAGTGGAATTTGTTTTTCAACTGTACATGGCTGTATGTACTATTGTGTACTGTGGTTTAATACAGACTCTGCATCTGTGCTGAAAAATAAGAATTTTGTTTTCAAAGAAAAAACAAGCATTTGTGAAGTGATTATAGACATAATGGACACAAAAGAAAGGTGTTATATCAAATAAAACTGATCTGTATGATCAAATATTAATGTATAGATTATCATGATTGAAAGCTCTTTGGGACACAGATTCATTTTATTGTATTGTGCAGCGCCTTGCATAATGAGGCCTTCATCTCTGGTTGTGGCCTGTCATTTCTACCCTAACAAAATAATAATAATAGACTGTTAGTATAGTAACAAGTGTAAAAATTGTGTTGCAACTAGTCTTCCTTATGTCTAATTTTAAGAAAGAAAAGTGCCTACCTTATAAAAGATAAAGTAAAGCTATCTACTCTTACAAGATAATGACTCTGTGAAGGTGAGTTTGAAACAGCTGAGGACTTGCTTCCTGGTCAAGGGCAGAAGGCTGAATTAGGACTGACAATCTCTACATTCCCAGTTTACAAGAACTATAGTGCGGGCTAAGAACCATAGCTGCAATCACATAAGAAATAACTAGGTAATCAGCAGGGAGACGTTCCTGCAAGCACAAGATCTCCCCCGTCATAGGTCTCTTCCGGCCTTGACACTTATTCCTTTCCTTCTCTCTACATTCTCTTCTGCCTTCTTCCCTCACCCCACCAAAATCACCCCAGTATCATGTAAAATAATAGTTTTTAAGAATGAAAATTAAAGCTTGGATCCATATCTGTACATAGGCTACATTCTATTACATGATAGTATATAAGGTATTCTTTCTCTATATCATATGTGCAAAAGAGGTGAAGTTAAGGATGATCTTTCAGCCAAGAGCAAATTGAAAAAGGAAAACAGGGAACTCAGCATTAACTACACTGTTTGTGACCAGTCAACATGAGGCTATAATTTTTGTATGTATCATTTCTTTTTGGTTTTAGGTGATCCTACACTGAATAAGTTCACTGTACTTATCTCAGGGCTGGTCCACACTAACCCCCCAGTTCGAACTAAGATACGCAACTTCAGCTACGTGAATAACGTAGCTGAAGTCGAAGTATCTTAGTTTGAACTACAAGGTACTTACCGCGGGTCCACACGTGGCAGGCAGGCTCCCCCGTCGACTCCGCGTACTCCTCTCGCGGAGCAGGAGTACCAGTGTTGACGGCGAGCACTTCGGGATCGATTTATCGCATCTAGACAAGACGCGATAAATCGATCCTAGAAGATTGATTGCTTACCTCCGAACCCGGAGGTAAGTATAGACGTACCCTAAGTTGCAACTTGTGGACATAATCCAGCAATAAATGTCCATGGCCTGCCAAGTTGTTCAGTCCTCAGGAAGTCATGGATGCTGGCACTATGTCAGGCCAGCCTAGCCAGAGGAAAGGTTGATCTGGCTTGGAAGGGAAATAACACACAAACCTGCCTCTCCCAAACTTCTGCAATATGGAGGGGTGGACGTAAGTGACTGTAGGGAAGGAGTGCTCCTGTAAATGAACTAGCTGCCCCTGAAAAATAGAAGGCTATATCTTGCTTCACTTGAATCCTTTCCTCTGATTACAGAGGAGGGTTGGGCAGGCATACATCTGGGTGTCATCTGCACATCGATGATGCATGAACTCATAGGCATTGCACAATTTCCCCATAGGGTCTTACGTAGTTGTTAAAAAGAAGGGAAGAAAGCATTGAGGCTTGTGGGACTCTACAAGACTATACGAAGTAATGAGGAGAGGTTCATCACTATGAGATTTTTCAGAGAGGAATGACTGCTGTCCCACTGCCATTAAACCTCAAATGTGTTTCATTGGCACACACAGTCACTGGTGTCAAAAGCCACAGAGCATATTAGCGCAGAGGTTTGATTTCTGTTCCAGGCCAGGAGAAGGTTGACCATCAGTGCCAAAAGGCCCATTCCTGTATCATGTTTTGATCTGATGCCTGGATATAAAGGAGCCAGCATGTTGGCAGAGGATAGGTGGTGTTAGAGTTTGGATGCCACTACTTTCTTAAGGATTTTGCCAAGAAAAAAGAGGTTGGAAACTGAGTGGTAGCTGGCGAGGCTGTTGGTATTAAGAATGGGTTTTTCTAGGTTTGGCTAAACTACTGTGTTCTTAGGGTGTCTGGTAATTTGCCTTCTTAACCAAGAAGGGAAGGCAACACCACTTGCCAAACAAAAGACCATTAAGTGCACTTGCTGGAATTCTTTAAAATGTATTCCTAAAAATACACTGAATGTTTTGATAGTATAATACAGTGTTAAGATTGTGTAGCTTGCGGTGGGAGTGGTATGTAGCTTTTGTAGCAGGATTCCAGGGGTGTCCTCCTTTAAGTTTTATTTTTCAATGTCTTTCATGTGGTACATTGCAAAAGCACCAAACTTGTTCTTTAGAAGTCTCTTTGAGTCCTAGTTTTAAAGGTCACCTCTCTGCAGGGATAGTTTTGCAATATCCAAAAGAGACAGATGAACCCCACCCAAGTCAGAGACTTTCTTGGTCCCCAAATATGAGTTTGAACACTATTGTAGTATATAGAGCTGTTAACGCCCCTTGCCATTCACTCTTTCTTTCTCTTTGTATTGGATTCATAGCCTAAGGCAACCTCAGATAAATGAGCCAAACCTTAAGCTCTAGTGTCCATTGCAATATATACAGAGACATGGAAAAGAGAAGGTGTGCGCTGAAGAGAAAGGACATGATCCTCCATTAAGTTTGTATGTGAGACATGTAAAAATTGCCAAGGGAAGTGAAAAGCCCTAAATACCCAGAAATATTAATAAAAATGTTGATATAAGCACCAACCCCGACAACTCCAGTACTGTATTTAACTACCGAATCCAGGCTCCCTAGTTCTGTATAGAAGCGTTTCTGGAGTTTTTCCAGTCTTACAGATTACTGGATGAGGTAAATTGTTACTCTCTTTGGTTATTTAAGGCTGCTGGCTAGCAGAGTTGATTTACTTGTACATTAGTATCAATATTGCTGAGTGGTTATTATAAATGTAATTATTGCTATGGCCTGAAGAGCTTTTGTATGGGAGTTTAAAAAAATGTTAAATAAAAATAAATAAATAATAACCAGCAATATTAACGTAGCAAAATAGCTAACTAT